AACCCTAACCATAACCATCTTACTCAGACCACCTTAACCCTAACCTTAACCATCTTACTCAGACCTACCTTAACCCTAACCTTAACCATCTTACTCAGACCCACCTTAACCCTAATCTTAACCATCTTACTCAGACCACCTTAACCCTAACCTTACCATCTTACTCAGACCACCTTAACCCTGACCTTAACCATCTTACTCAGACCACCTTGACCCTAACCTTAACCATCTTACTCAGACCACCTTAACCCTGACCATAACCATCTTACTCAGACCACCTTAACCCTAACCTTAACCATCTTACTCAGACCACCTTAACCCTAACCATCTTACTCAGACCACCTTAACCCTAAACTTAACCATCTGACTCAGACCACCTTAACCCTAACCTTAACCATCTTACTCAGACCACCTTAATCCTAACCTTAACCATCTTACTCAGACCCACCTTAACCCTAACCTTAACCATCTTACTCAGACCACCTTAACCCTAACCTTAACCATCTTACTCAGACCACCTTAACCCTAACCTTAACCATCTTACTCAGACCACCTTAACCCTAACCTTAACCATCTTACTCAGACCACCTTAACCCTGACCTTAACCATCTTACTCAGACCACCTTAACCCTAACCTTAACCATCTTACTCAGACCACCTTAACCCTAACCTTAACCATCTTACTCAGACCCACCTTAACCCTAACCTTAACCATCTTACTCAGACCACCTTAACAATAACCTTAACCATCTTACTCAGACCACCTTAACCCTTACCTTAACCATCTTACTCAGACCACCTTAACCCTAACCTTAACCATCTTACTCAGACCACCTTAACCCTGACCTTAACCATCTTACTCAGACCACCTTAACCCTAACCTTAACCATCTTACTCAGACCACCTTAATCCTAACCTTAACCATCTTACTCAGACCCACCTTAACTCTAACCTTAACCATCTTTCTCAGACCACCTTAACACTAACCTCAACCATCTTACTCAGAGCACCTTAACCCTAACCTTAACCATCTTACTCAGACCACCTTAACCCTGACCTTAACCATCTTACTCAGACCACCTTAACCCTAACCTTAACCATCTTACTCAGACCACCTTAACCCTAACCTTAACCATCTTACTCAGACCACCTTAACCCTGACCTTAACCATCTTACTCAGACCACCTTAACCCTAACCTTAACCATCTTACTCAGACCACCTTAACCCTGACCTTAACCATCTTACTCAGACCACCTTAACCCTGACCTTAACCATCTTACTCAGACCACCTTAACCCTAACCTTAACCATCTTACTCAGACCACCTTAATCCTAACCTTAACCATCTTACTCAGACCACCTTAACCCTAACCTTAACCATCTTACTCAGACCACCTTAACCCTAACCTTAACCATCTTACTCAGACCACCTTAACTCTAACCTTAACCATCTTACTCAGACCACCTTAACCCTAACCTTAACCATCTTACTCAGACCCACCTTAACTCTAACCTTAACCATCTTTCTCAGACCACCTTAACACTAACCTTAACCATCTTACTCAGAGCACCTTAACCCTAACCTTAACCATCTTACTCAGACCACCTTAACCCTGACCTTAACCATCTTACTCAGACCACCTTAACCCTAACCATCTTACTCAGACCACCTTAACCCTAACCAAACCATCTTACTCAGACCACCTTAACCCTAACCTTAACCATCTTACTCAGACCACCTTAACCCTAACCTTAACCATCTTACTCAGACCACCTTAACCCTAAACATCTTACTCAGACCACCTTAACCCTAAACTTAACTATCTTACTCAGACCACCTCAACTCTAACCATCTTACTCAGACCACCTTAACCCTGACCTTAACAGCACCAAGATTCATGGATTGCACACCAGGTGTGCCAAACCGATCCAAGCAAACCTAATTATATATTATATATCATATACATCATATATACCATACATACCATATATATTATATATAATACACAACATAACATACAGCATAATATATAACATAATTTACAACATAACACAATACACAACATAATACATATATTGTATAATATAAAACATAATAGTAAGTAAGTAAGTAATGTTTATTTATATACCGCCTTTCACAGACCAGAGTCACAAAGCGGTTTACAATTATTATTTTTTGGGCACTTGTCTCTCTCTCCAAACAGAGATGGGAGCGGGGTCGCCAGTAGGAGGCGCATGCCAGAACTATTGTACATATTTTTAGTGGTAGGGGAAACCGGAGTACCCGGAGGAAACCTACGCAGACACGGGGAGAACGTGCAAACTCCACACACACGGAGACTCACACGTACACACACACAGACTCACACGTACACACACACAGACTCACACACACACAGACTCACACGTACACACACACAGACTCACACGTACACACACACACACAGACTCACACGTACACACACACAGACTCACACGTACACACACAGACTCACACGTACAAACACACAGACTCACACGTACACACACACAGACTCACACGTACACACACACACACAGACTCACACGTACACACACAGACTCACACGTACAAACACACAGACTCACACGTACACACACACAGACTCACACGTACACACACACACACAGACTCACACGTACACACAGACTCACACGTACACACAAACAGACACACACACACACACTTACACCAGGTAGTTTTGTGAAAAGCCAAATCTTTACAAATAAAGTTTCAGCCTCCAAGTATTTTACTGCCAATAACAAACAGGTCGACTGACAAAGAGGAACACAACTCTTCAATTGTTGTCAAAACTTACTTTGGGACAGTGTCGTGGAGGACTTTCCACCGGGGACAACAGCTGACTGTGGTGTTAGCATGTTGTGTTAGCATGTGGCTAAGCTAGCACAGGTTAGCCGCGGGCACGTGTTGTTTACCTCGAGTCCAGACCGTTTTGTCCATCAGAAGGTTCAGTGACACATGGATCTATTATAATATCTATGACATACGGAGAGAGAGGCTGTGGTCACGGGAACAAACACCAGGGTCATGTGACAGTCTCTGGTCATGTGACAGTCACTGGTCATGTGACAGTCTCTGGTCATGTGACAGTCTCTGGTCATGTGACAGTCTCTGGTCATGTGACAGTCTCTGGTCATGTGACAGTCTCTGGTCATGTGACAGTCTCTGGTCATGTGACAGTCTCTGATCATGTGACAGTCTCTGATCATGTGACAGTCGCTGGTCATGTGACAGTCTGGTCATGTGACAGTCTCTGGTCATGTGACCGTCTCTGGTCATGTGACAGTCTCTGGTCATGTGACAGTCTCTGGTCATGTGACAGTCTCTGATCATGTGACAGTCTCTGGTCATGTGACAGTCTCTGGTCATGTGACAGTCTCTGGTCATGTGACAGTCTGGTCATGTGACAGTCTCTGGTCATGTGACCGTCTCTGGTCATGTGACAGTCTCTGGTCATGTGACAGTCTGGTCATGTGACAGTCTCTGGTCATGTGACAGTCTCTGGTCATGTGACAGTCTCTGGTCATGTGACAGTCTGGTCATGTGACAGTCTCTGGTCATGTGACAGTCTGGTCATGTGACAGTCTCTGGTCATGTGACAGTCTGGTCATGTGACAGTCTCTGGTCATGTGACAGTCTCTGGTCATGTGACAGTCTGGTCATGTGACAGTCTCTGGTCATGTGACAGTCTGGTCATGTGACAGTCTGGTCATGTGACAGTCTCTGGTCATGTGACAGTCTCTGGTCATGTGACAGTCACTGGTCATGTGACAGTCTCTGGTCATGTGACAGTCTCTGGTCATGTGACAGAGACAGCCCAAGAGGACACGTAAGGACCATGGATGAGGACCATAGACCCATGGATCTATTATTATACCATAGACTTGTGAAAAATGGAGTCCACTACAGAACTGTTGCTAGGAGACAGCAGTTATGTTCAAGGTGTTATACAAAATAAAAAGATAAAAACACACATTCAGTAAGACAAGTTACCACAACACATTTTGAGACATTCATATACTTGGGCGGCACGATGGCTGAGTGGTTAGCCTTCTCTCTTCAAGAACGTCCTGGGTTCAAATTCTGGTCGGAACAGGGTCTTTCTGAGGAGTTTGCATGTTCTCCACGTGCCGGCTCCGGTTTCCCCTACTAAAACTACTAAAAACATGTACAAAAGGTAAATCCTCCAGCTCTGGTCCTGACCCAAAACATCAACATCTGGAGATGGTTCCCGGGCCTGTTACTACGGCGACCACTGCTCCTGACTTAAACCTTGTGCTTCACAATTTTAAATTTTCTGAGATTTTGCTGCAGTACAGTGTTCATGGTTTTACACTGGTCCCAGCAGGAGGCCAGTCCCTGTGCTCCTCAGAGTCCCAGCAGGACTGGACAGGAATCTTCACCCGGGAACCGTCTCCAGATGTTGATGCTCAAGGGTCTGGAGGGTTTATACCTATTGTACATGTTTTTAGTGGTAGTGGAAACCGGAGCACCTGGAGGAAACCTACGCAGGCACGAGGAGAACATGCAAACTCCACTCAGAAAGACTCTGTTCCAATCCAAAGTTACACGGCTCAAGCTTTTACATGTTTCGTCTCCAATGTCCAAAACAATAAATGGTTTTATCATGGTCCATAAATAGGATAAAGTCAGAGGGAGAAGAGAAACCTCAGAGAGAGAAACCTTCTTACTTAGTCAAAGTTACAAATCACACGACATAACAAAAAAGGAAGTATAAAAAAGTTGAACAGTTTAGTGCTGACATGATGTTTGTCAGAGATAAACAATGAAGCCTCAGCTGCAGATTCGCTCTCTCCACACTTTTGCGTTGTGTGTTTACAGAAACCTGACGTGTCCAAAGCCATCGGGGTTTTCTCTGCACACAAACGTTTCATTTTCTATTTGAGGAGAGTTTGGCCTCAGACCTCAGGGACCTGCTGCCTCTGTGCGTTTGCTACAGATGCATTGTTTAGATTCTGCAGATGCTCAGGACAGAAATGCAGTTCATGAATCAGACGTGTTTGTCCGGAAGGTTCTGTGGTTCAGTGAGTATTGTGGGATCGCAGGCTCTGAAGGACACTGTCATGAGACCGAAAATGCAAAACTGCAAAACGATGGATTTAATAAATAAGTAATACAAATGATGATCGAGCAAAAACATCACAAAAAGTTACCAAACCGGGAACAAAGACAGAACTGAAGCAGACGTGGGAATGATAATGACGGAACAGGAAGTGAAGGAACACACCGGGTTTGAATACACAAGACTAACGAGACACACAACAGGAAGTACTATTAAAGACACAGGGAGTTACTACAAAATAAAACAGGAAATACACTAATACCAGTTAGAAGTGTTCGTCTCATGGTACAGTCCAATCACTGGCTACATTACATCTGTTTTTTTTTCTTCAAAACAATATATTGTGTCTTTTGGTTAAAAGGTTGATCTGTAAATGGTTGTGTTTTAAATCCATTTATATTAGTCACACAAAAACACCAGACTCATACTTGGCAATGTGTGCCAAGTGTCATGCCGAAGGACACAATAATAGTTCAGCACTTTACAGCTGCCCCTTTGTCTCCCATCACAGTACTAACCAGGCCCTGCCCTGCTTAGGTCTGTGAGGATGTGGTTTTCACATTCAGATGGCGCCACATTAGACACTAATCCATAAAGCATAACAAAGAGTCTGAAGGTCATCTGGTTGTTTTTTTAGACCAATTTTAGTCAGAGCCCAACTTATGTAACCTGGTCTTACCATGTGTAAACTCTGGTCTTACCATGTGTAAACTCTGGTCTTACCATGTGTAAACTCTGGACCATGTAGAATGTGATAGTAAAATAATCTGTTCTGGTTCAATCCAAATATGAAGAAACTGAAGCCGGAGCAAGAGGAATGTTTAGTAAATGTCATTGAAGCAAAGATGTTGTGGTGAGAAATACAAAAGGGAGAGCACAGGAGCTGACGGAGCAGACGAGAGAGACCAAAGGGAGAGCACAGGAGCTGACGGAGCAGACGAGAGAGACCAAAGGGAGAGCACAGCAGCTGACGGAGCAGACGAGAGAGACCAAAGGGAGAGCACAGGAGCTGACGGAGCAGACGAGAGAGACCAAAGGGAGAGCACAGGAGCTGACGGAGCAGACGAGAGAGACCAAAGGGAGAGCACAGGAGCTGACGGAGCAGACGAGAGAGACCAAAGGGAGAGCACAGGAGCTGACGGAGCAGACGAGAGAGGCCAAAGGGAGAGCACAGGAGCTGACGGAGCAGACGAGAGAGACCAAAGGGAGAGCACAGTCGGTAAACGTGTCGGTAAACATGTCAGTTCCTGCTTGACCCTGGTTCTATCCAGAGAACTCCCAGAGCAGTCGATTTGACGGCTTTTAGTTTAGGAAGTAATTCATGTACATTTTTAGTCCTAAGTTTTGAGTTTTTTGGGCGAATTCCCATTGGTTTGAAAATGGAGCAGTCAAAACAACAGCTCTGAGAGTTCTGGCAGTTTCAGAATTCTGTGAATCCTGGTGTTAACAGGTTTTTGTTCTGGTCTTAAAGTAAATGTTATGTTTTTAAAGTGTTGTTTTAGTCCTTCTTCAAACACTGGATCAAAGAAAATATAAAATCATTTTCTAAACTTTGCTTGATCAAAAATATTTATTTTCCTGCGACTAAACTTTAGTGACTCTTTGGTCTCGGTGAAGTCTGGTCTCGACGGCGAAGTCTGGTCCCACACGGCGTCGTCGTGGCAAATTTTATAAATAATAGATGAGGAAGCGGCCGTCTCAAACTCACTTTACCTGATGCAATTCTCATTAATTAAACACGACACAGGCGTAAAAACAGCCGCTCGCTACAGGGTTTTATTGGGCGGCACAGTGGCTGACTGGATAGCACTCTCGCCTCTCAGCAAGAAGGTCCTGGGTTCGAATCCCGGTCGGACCAGGGCCTTTCTGAGTGGAGTTTGCATGTTCTCCCCGTGTGTGCGTAGGTTTCCTCCGGTTTCCCCTACCACTAAAAATATGTCCAATAGTTCTGGCATGCGCCCCTGTGCTGGCCCCGCTCCCATCTCTATGTGGAGTGAGAGACAAATGCCCAAAAATTAACAATTGTAAACCGCTTTGAGACTCAGATCTGCAGTGAAAAGGCGGTATATAAATAAAAACTTACTTACTTACTATTTGTTTTTTGGTTGGGACGGTGCATGTTCATGAACACATCACTCTGGATTGTAGCCATGGGGTCATTGAAATGAATAATCACAAACACACTCTGAACTATTGCACATGTTTGTAGTGGTAGGGCAAACCGGAGTGCCCGGAGGAAACCTACGCAGACACGGGGAGAACGTATAAACTCCACTCAGAAAGGCCAGACACAGAAGAAATGACGCTCTGGTGAAATATGTGCATTATTCTTACAACCTTATTTTTAGATCTTTCCCTCCTTTCTGAATCAGATGTTTCTGTTTTTGTGTAAAATATAAACTAGGGTTGATTAAGTAAGGGATAACGTATATTACGCAGGTCATTATCGGAAAATAAGTACCAACAGGGCGAAGTGCACGTCGGGGTCTGCTTCCGCCCTGAAGGTACAGTGCCTTGCGAAAGTATTCGGCCCCCTTGAACCTTTCAACATTTTGCCACATTTCAGGCTTCAAACATAAAGATATAAAATTTAATTTTTTTGTCATGAATCAACAACAAGTGGGACACAATCGTGAAGTGGAATGAAATTTATTGGATCATTTAAACTTTTTTAACAAATAAAAAACTGAAAAGTGGGGCGTGCAATATTATTGGGCCCCTTTACTTTCAGTGCAGCAAACTCAGTCCAGAAGTTCAGTGAGGATCTTTGAATGATCCAATGTTGTCCTAAATGACTGATGATGATAAATAGAATGCACCTGTGTGTAATCAAGTCTCCGTATAAATGCATCTGCTCTTTGATAGTTTCAGGGTTCTGTTTAAAGCACAGAGAGAACCATGAAGACAAAGGAACACACCAGGCAGGTCCGAGATACTGTTGTGGAGAAGTTTAAAGCTGGATTTGGATACAAAAAGATTTCCCAAGCTTTAAACATCTCAAGGAGCATTGTGCAAGCAATTATATTGAAATGGAAGGAGTATCAGACCACTGCAAATCTACCAAGACCCGGCCGTCCCTCCAAACTTTCATCTCAAACAAGGAGAAGACTGATCAGAGATGCAGCCAAGAGGCCCATGATCACTCTGGATGAACTGCAGATAACTACAGCTGAGGTGGGAGAGTCTGTCCATAGGACAACAATCAGTCGTGCACTGCACAAATCTGGCCTTTATGGAAGAGTGGCAAGAAGAAAGCCATTTCTCAAAGATATCCATAAAAGTCTTGTTTAAAGATTGCCACAAGCCACCTGGGAGACACACCAAACATGTGGAAAAAGGTGCTCTGGTCAGATGAATCCAAAATCAAACTTTTTGGCCACAATGCAAAACGATATGTTTGGCGTAAAAGCAACACAGCTCATCACCCTGAACACTAGTGATGTGCTGAGCGTGCCGGGTCTTCGAAGCGTGTACCGAGTAAAAAAGGGGCGTATTTTTTGAAGCGTAGTTCGAGGCGTGTGTTGGTGACGTTTGAAGCCTCGCATAGCGGCCGCACCACGTGATGGTTCATATAGTGCTTCATATCGTTCGGAGAGTGCATTGCTTTGACAGGTGCTTTGTGATCCGCGGCTGTACCATAGACTGTATTGGCTGTCCCCGTCTGCCTCTGTGTGCGTACGTGTGTGTGCGTACGTGTGTGTGTGTGCGTACGTGTGTGTGCGTGATGTGGAGCAGTCCTGTACTAAGTATAGAGAAACTACTTCATATGAAATACAATTAAAAACGTTTCACTTTAGTAAATCCTCATATATCAAGGCTTCAAGTTATTAGTAATAATATGCTGGATAATACATTTCACAACAGCTGTGTGGCGCAGTCGGTCTATGACGGACTCCGAAGTAGAAGATATAGGTTCGAATCCCGGTCTACCCATAATAAATGTTGTGTTGCAAAGTAAATGTATTTATTTATTGGGAATAAATGGTTTGTTGTGTTTAATTAATCCACCTCTTGGTAGTTTGTCCTCCATTAATCACTTTCTGTAGAACTGTATTACTTTGGATGTGTTTGTTGTATCAACACAATAGACACGTTAGACCATAGATTGTAAATATACATTTTAACATTAGATCTCACCAGTAAGCACTTAAGAGTATTATGTATTTCTTTGTCCACATGATGGCGTAGTGGAGCATGATTCACCTCGAGCCTTCGACTCATGGGCCGAGTAATAGGCTGCAAACCCTCAAGGCTTCATGGGGCTTCATATTGCCATCACTACTGAACACGCCATCCCCACCTCAGCTGTAGTTATCTGCAGTTCATCCAGAGTGATCATGGGCCTCTTGGCTGCATCTCTGATCAGTCTTATCCTTGTTTGAGATGAAAGTTTGGAGGGACGGCCGGTCTTGGTAGATTTGCAGTGGTCTGATACTCCTTCCATTTCAATATAATTGCTTGCACAGTGCTCTTTGAGATGTTTAAAGCTTGGGAAATCTTTTTGTATCCAAATCCGGCTTTAAACCTCTCCACAACAGTATCTCGGACCTGCCTGGTGTGTTCCTTTGTCTTCATGGTTCTCTCTGCGCATTAAACAGAACCCTGAGACTATCAAAGAGCAGGTGCATTTATACGGAGACTTGATTACACACAGGTGCATTCTATTTATCATCATCAGTCATTTAGGACAACATTGGATCATTCAAAGATCCTCACTGAACTTCTGGACTGAGTTTGCTGCACTGAAAGTAAAGGGGCCGAATAATATTGCACGCCCCACTTTTCAGTTTTTTATTTGTTAAAAAAGTTTAAATTATCCAACAAATTTCATTCCACTTCACGATTGTGTCCCACTTGTTGTTGATTCATGACAAAAAATTAAAATTTTATATCTTTATGTTTGAAGCCTGAAATGTGGCGAAATGTTGAAAGGTTCAAGGGGGCCGAATACTTTCGCAAGGCACTGTACTTATTTTCCGATAATGACCTGCGTAATATACGTTATCCCGCTTATTATTCGGCTTTATACCAACAGAACACACAACATAAACTTCAGTCCACTTTTAGGAATGCCAAATGGTTTATTTAATGACAGAAAATAAAATAGTTCCCAAAGGCTTTCCCGTGGCTATGCTAGCAGCACTTAGGCTAGCAACTTCCAAACTAGAACTCTCTGGAACTGCATGAAAACTGAACACAGAATCCTGAACATCAGCGGTGAGTGACCCAAACATAAACTTAACCTAAATCCATAATTCCATCCTCTGCAAATGTGTCCGAAAATGTGCCGGTATCTACTTCCGGGTTTTTCGGGATCGCCTTTTCTCGCATTACATCAGTGTTTTTGTCATGAAAACGTAAACGGAAAATTCTGAAAACTTCCGTGCACGTGTGTGAAGAATGTATATGTATAAGTATTCTCCGATTAACATTTAGTAAGAGAGAGACGTGAGCAGAGAGAGAGACGCGAGCAGAGAGAGAGAGACGTGAGCAGAGAGAGACGTGAGCAGAGAGAGAGAGACGTGAGCAGAGAGAGAGTGAGCAGAGAGAGAGAGACGCGAGCAGAGAGAGACGTGAGCAGAGAGAGAGAGACGAGCAGAGAGAGAGAGCAGAGAGAGACGTGAGCAGAGAGAGAGAGACGTGAGCAGAGAGAGAGAGACGTGAGCAGAGAGAGACGTGAGCAGAGAGAGAGAGACGTGAGCAGAGAGAGACGTGAGCAGAGAGAGAGAGGCGTGAGCAGCAGAGAGAGAGAGAGAGAGGTGAGCAGAGAGAGACGTGAGCAGAGAGAGAGAGACGCGTGCGAGCAGAGAGAGAGAGAGAGAGCAGAGAGAGACGTGAGCAGAGAGAGAGAGACGCGAGCAGAGAGACGAGAGCAGAGAGAGAGAGAGAGTGAGCAGAGAGAGACGTGAGCAGAGAGAGAGAGACGCGAGCAGAGAGAGACGCGAGCAGAGAGAGACGGGGAGCAGAGAGAGAGAGGCGTGAGCAGAGAGAGAGAGAGCAGAGAGAGAGACGTGAGCAGAGAGAGAGAGACGCGAGCAGAGAGAGAGAGAGAGAGAGACGTGAGCAGAGAGAGAGAGCAGAGAGAGAGACGTGAGCAGAAAGAGAGAGACGTGAGCAGAGAGAGAGAGGCGTGAGCAGAGAGAGAGAGAGGTGAGCAGAGAGAGAGAGAGAGACGCGAGCAGAGAGAGAGAGAGGCGAGCAGAGAGAGAGAGAGGTGAGCAGAGAGAGAGAGACGCGAGCAGAGAGAACAGCAGA